TACTCTTGAGACCGACCATAAAATCAACACACTGACAAAGCAACAGTTTTAAATTCCAAACATGCACAAAACCCAGAACCATAATTACCTCAACTCTAAGCCCACTGGGAAAGTGAAGCATGTGGCCTCCTATGTTTTATTCAGTGCAGGGGACCCTGTCAGTACTTCACAAATGCCAAATAAACTCTCAGAACAACAATCCTCAGATTTGAGGGCCAATGCCCACCTGGGCAGAAATCAAGACAAGGAGAAATCTGTTCCCAAACGGAGTGCACATCCTAGACCTGATGTTCACTTTGTGATAAGTTTTCCATTTTAGCCAGGAGCCACTCAGAGAGGAATGTAAAAACCACTACTCTGTGTGAGCATGGTGCTTCAAAGAGTTGCTGGGTCATGCAAGCTGCAGGCATGGGGTGCTGATTCTGAGTATAAACTGAGACAGAGCTGACTTAAGTCACGACTGGTTAGGTGATTGAAAACTTGTAGATCTAAAGTCCAGGACTAAGGAGGCTACTGAAGAAAAGTCAGTCCTTAATTGCCCCCAACGATCTCAGAAAGAAGAAATGCTTTAACCCTGAGTCAAATAGAGAAATCGATTTTTTAAATAGGTCTTCATACCAGAGACATTATTTTGAAAGTTCTAAAAACAAGTTGGGAGTTGTTGAAACTAAAAACACCATCAAATCTATACAGCAGTGATCAGGCTCTTTTTACATGGGTGGACTTCAAGAATCATAACAAGCCAGTGAGTTTATAACTGAATATCAGTTAAGTAACTATTCACACAAATGTATTTTATAATTTTTAAAAATATTTCAACAAATAAGTATCAATTTCCTACCATGCACTAAGCACTATGCTAAACGCGCTGTGTATACTGTAGCGAACAAAAAGAAAAATGTGGACTTCATCTTCATGGAGCTTCCAGCATCACGGGGGAGAGACATTATCAAACAAGATTTTAGGGAATTATTCAGTAGGATGATTTAACAAATGATTCCTCCAGGCCCTGGAAAGGCAACGTGTTGAAAAGTTGACTTCTGGGCCCAATGTGCTTTCCTTGGTGTACTTTAGTCCAGTGGGGATTGAAAGGAGGAATGGATGTCTATAGTGCTAGGGTGCCTCTGCCATAAGAAAGCCCTGTTTAGGCATGTGGTGACTTGAGTCATGGAAGTAGTGGCCCAGTCTCCTTATCAACCTCTTAAATGAAAAGACAGCACCTAGTGGAAACGCTGCTGACAGAAATTGCCAGGGCGAAAAACACATGGCAAGTCCTCTGTGGTTCTGGTGGCCCAACTACACACATCTGGCTTCCTGGGAAGGCTCTGATTGCAAATAAGAGGTTGGATCATGGTTTTAGGAACTCTACCTCTACCACAGGATCAAAGGTACAGAAAGCAACTATCAGCTGTTTCCTAGCAGCCTGTCCAGATTGTATGTTAATGAGTTGAGCACTGAGCTTCCAATTACGGAACTACTTCCAGAACTAAAGTTTCAAATGGAGTCCTTGTGATAGGTGCACTTATTGGTGATCTCAGTTGAGAGACTAGAAGTTTGACTACCTCTGAATCACAGGCTACTAAATAATGATGATACCGGAATTTTCTCTACCATGCCACACATTAAAGGAAAAGATGCATTATTTCTTACTACAATGCTATGGCCACGTATGATTCTGAATCACAATTTTTTCACAAGATATCCATTTTAAAATAATGGAACAATGAAAAACAATTCAAAAGTAGTGGCTCTTATTTTAAACATAATACTGAAATTTTAATCAATTATCTTTACAACTACAATTGCCATATATAATATGCAGCCTTTTGGTGTGTTAATGTATATTCACGTTTGTATGTGGGTGCTGAGATATATGTATGTGAGTGTCCATCAGTGGATTTAACGTTGTTATATAGTGAGAAAAATTCTGGGGTAACTGTTCCCAACGTTAAACAACTGGAATAAGAATGTGCTACATAATAAACTAAGTGTTGCCATTTTCTACAATCACTCACACAGAGGTTTTTGATTCACTGCAGTTTCTGAATTACTCAGAAAAATGACAGTTAATTATCTCTAACACCTATGCAGGAACAGCTGGGGGAAAGAAAGGGACTATGAAATTAGCACTCTGTGACTGAGTTAAATATATCATTTAGTTCAATAGAATTGACTATCATAAGTAAACTCAGGTTATGAAGAATTAATTTCTTTTTTATGCCAAAATGCCTTTGTTTGATCCATCAATTCCTAATGCACCCTGACTTTTTTGACTCTATTCCTGAAAAGGGTCCACTGCCAAAAGCTGAACGGCAAGTAGGCCTTTCCAACACAGTTTTATGAATAAACCAGAACACGCCACAACCACTTATCTCTATGACTGCAGAAATGGTTTTTCATTGTATTCTAGTAACTTGATGGAACAATGTGCTTATTTTTAACCCCCTCCCATGGGGGAATATTCAGTTTTTGAGAGGTTAAGAAAATAATGTTTCAAAATAGTAGTGTACAAATAAACTGATGTTTGGTTGAAAATATTTGTGTTGTGTGTTAAACAACCGTAAAGTACCAAAACAAATAGCAGGTTATAAATTACTTGATACAGCTTCCTACATTTATAGGAAATTCTGCTATAGAATCAGCAACTTTACTGTGGAGCTACACAGTCATGCACTTCTCCACGTATTCATTCAACAGATATTTATGGAGTATATACCACGTACATGACACCATGATAGGTTCTGGGGATGCAGAGCTGCGATAAAGACAGACATGACTGATGTGCGTGCATAAATTTTACATTTCCTTCCAGAGAATATTTCCAGTCCCTGTCATCATCTGAGTTTTCTAGTAAAGTGGTTAAAATTGGAGGATAAGGCACGCACACCCATCCCTAAATGTGGGAAGCACAGCAAATATCCAAAATTATATCTGTAATAAAATGACAGATTGTATAAGAAACTTACACTGAGTACATTATGTTAAACAATCAATGAAATAACATAATATTTGAAAACATTTTAATCAGGCCATTCTTGTGTGCGTGTGTGCGTGTGTGTGTGTGTGTGTGTGTGTGTGTGTGAAAAACCTTAGTAAACTTGCCAAGTTATGTAACCATCATCACGATTCTGTTTAGAACATTTCCACTGCCCCATTAAGATCCCTGTGCCATTTACAGTTAATTCCTGTCTCTACCCACAGCCCCAGGCAATTACTAATCTGCCTTCTGTCTCTCTGGCTTTTCTAGACATTTTGTATAATTGGAATAGTACAATATGTGGTTTTTTTGTGTCTGGTCAACCCAATCTTTTAAAACATAGCTATTTTAAGTCTTTACTAAATTAGATTATTTAACAATTCACTCATGTACCTTATAACTCTGGGAACTCTCACTAGGCATAATTGGAAGGCTCAAGACTTCAAGTTTACATGTTAAGAAACAAAACGGTCCAGGCAGATCTTTTGTTTGGATGACCAATTCATAGAAACTGGAGATAAACACAGTTGTTGCTGCATATATTTATAAAGTGATTGAGTGTCTCAGCAATCTGCTTAGTGATGACCAGTGAATTATATATTTCACAACCAAATTCATTGTTGAATGCAGTCCCAGAATCTCATTAGATCACGTCTGAGTATAATTTGAGAAGGAAAATCTGAAAATCTTGAACTATCTTTCATGAAATTTAGTACATGCTTTTACCTATCAGTAATATGCTATCAGATTCATTTCATTCCAATTCAATATAGGTTTATTGAGCACCTATCATGTGGTAAGCAAAATATTTTGTGCTAAAGATATAGATGAATAAGATGGTCAGAGAAAAAATAAAGGTGAATAGGTAAAAAGATTCAATTGCATAGTTTTAAACTAGTTCCTTTATATTTTTCTATTTTTTGAGCACACACTAATGAAAGCCAGAAGAAATGAAGACTTTTTCCCTTATAATTTTTCTTGCACAAAAGGAATCAAAGCTCCACAGGAGGTTTTTATTGGTAAAATCCTGATATTAGGGATATTTTTAATCCTCCAGTCTAAATAGACAAGTTAGTAACCACAAATCCAAGGTGAAAAGTGGCCTGATTAGTAAAGGTATAGAAGGTTTTAGGCAGGTCCAGCAAAGTGTAATAAAGACAGCCTGAAGAGTAGCAAGTGAGACTAATGTAACTAGATGCTCTTTAACCATGTAAAGCACTGGACAGGGAAACCCAGAATAAATAAGGAATTAAGGGCCATTAAAATGAGAATTCCAAATTTAAAAGACTATAAGAGAAAACAAAACAGACCCCACATACTTCACACTATAAGACAAGTGAAGAGAAGTTTCTTTCAGTACAATTACTGTTTTTGTAGTAGTTAGGAGATATATTAAATTTATGAGTTACACAAATTAACGAGTCTAAAGATATCCATAGCAGTGACGGAAGACAGGAGGAAAAGGGAATTAAAAACATCATAGTATCATATGGTTGTCCCCAAATAACCAGAAAAGCAGTTTATGGCAAAAACTATAGGCAAGGGTAGGCAAAAACTCTACTACAGTACTCAACAGAGGCAGCTTCTGTAATAGGCCAGACTGAAGTTCTCAGAGTCTTTTTCTTTAAAAATTCAATAAAAGTCATTAGGTCTAATCCAATTCTTATATATAACTTCTAATTCAGAGACAGAGTCCCTAGGTCCTCCCAGCGTGAGAAATTGTCCTTATCACTAGTTGCCACCGGTAAGCCAAGCTGGGGGCGGGGCTGCTGACCACTGTACTTCCCCAGTTCTTATGGATCTTCGTACCTTGCCTCCAAACCCTCAGATTCAAGAAGTACTTTTCTAAGTTGAGAAACTAAAGAGCTGTCTGATTTATCTGTTGTTCTGATTTAGAAGGCCAGATTCACTCTCTGTAAATATAAATTCGTTCATAGAAGCATATGTCCTCCAGTTTGGGGGAGAGTTCTCTTTGTAGGACACCATTTTAGTTGACCCCTTGTTTGGTAAAGAAATGAAATACCTTGCACTTTGAAGAACCAGGTCTTCACATTGGTCAGATCATACATCTTGCCCTTGAATGTGGGATGAAAAAACGTATTTCAGCCTCCTCACTCTCATCTAGAGAAACTGTAAGAAAAAATAGTAGAGAGCCCATGAGAAGAAGAAGAATGTGATTCAATCATATATTCAATCTGTTCACTTATGTAGTCATGTATGAATGCATATAACAAATATTCACCAAATGTGGATTCCATAAATAAAGTCAAGCTTAATCCTTTATCCCCTAGGAATGGCTAAATTCTCCAAGTTGCTCCTCCAAATAGTGATATGATGCAGCTGAGGATGCAGAGAGCACGTCCCAGGCTTCTCCTGAAACTGCAGGTATCTGGTAACCTTAAATGTAGAAATAACACTATATCAAAACTTAACAAGAGGGCTTCCCTGGTGGCGCAGTGGTTGGGAGTCCGCCTGCCGATGCAGGGGACATGGGTTCGTGCCCCAGTCCGGGAGGATCCCACATGCCGCGGAGCGGCTGGGCCCATCAGCCATGGCCGCTGGGCCTGCGCGTCTGGAGCCTGTGCTTCTCAATGGGAGAGGCCACAGCAGTGAGAGGCCCGCGTACCACACACCCACAAAAAAACTTAACAAGAAACAAGAAGCTCATCTGGATAATACAGACAGTGAAGGTTCCATTTCTCAGGTCTAACCTCAAAGGGTAAATGCTAATTTGGAACGTTTGTGATATCACCCTGAGAAAGAAAAAACCCAAAACGGTCTTTCACAGCCTGCCTTTTGGCTACCTTACCCATCATTTTAATCATCAGATTTCCCACAAGCTTTAATCCATATACAATATACTTTATGAAAATGTAATTTTGCAAAACATTTTCTAGCCTCCATCCTGAAGATGTGGAAATAGACAATTGAATCGATCTGTAAAATCTTCTGCAGTTACTCACAACTCACTCATGACACATTAGCCATTTCTGAAGTGCAGCTAGGCTTGGACTCATTTATCTTTGATATTTTCTCATTTTTCTCACAATAATTCAGAAATAAATACATACTTATGGAATATTAGAAAATTGGGTGGAGGTCATTTCCCAAATAGTTATTTGCGTTGAGTCTTTGTTTATAATCTACAAATAGTGGGTTAAAAATTACCATGCTTGTTTTTTAATAAATATTATAAAAATAATATTAACATAGCCATATTACTAAAATGTTTGAAAAGGGAAAACATTCATAAAACATTACCCCCAAACAGCAGCTACCATTATTTTGGAGTATTATCCCTAATCTCTTTATCTGCATATTTCTGAGTATCTGTAGTGTGCACAAAATTTTCATCCTGCTTTTTTTCTCCCCTAACATTAGTTCATAAGCTTTTTTCCATGTTGGTGTATGAAATTTATAACCATCACTTTAATTGTTGAGTAATATGCAGGTAGTTGATGTGTCTTTAATGAACCATTTGATTATCATCAGATACTTTCGTGTTATCAACTTTTGGCAATTATAAATAATGCTTTTCTAACCATCTCTGTTAGTTCTCTTTGACGGATAACCACAGATGGGATTGCTGGATATTAGTATTGGTTGTATAGATATATTGTGAAATTGTTTTCTGAAAAGTTATGCCCCTTGTTAATACCATGAACAGTAGGTAAAAGTACCAACTTTACTGGCATTGGTTATTATTTATATATTTTTGAAATAAATAGGTATAAAATGGTTGTTCAAGGATATCATTATTCATATTTCCCTAATAACCAGTGAGACAGGATATGTTTCTTAATTTTTTCTTTATTATTTTTCCTGTTTTATGAACAGGCCAGAAACCCTTTCCTTATTTTGTCAACACGATGTGATATAACTGACAATTTTTGTTTTAATTTCAGCTAACTTACTTGATGGTTGAATATTGTGTGACAATAATTAAACTTTTTGAATTAGACTTCACAATAAAATAATTAGTCTTCTTTTGTTTCATACCATGGCATGATCTTTGAGGGACTCTTTTTTTGAGGTTCATAAAAGACATCGCTTAAAAAAAAAGGCATTGGTTAAAATCCCAGGGTGATGGCCATGTAATATATATTGTGGCCCTTGTGGTTGCTCTACAAGTGACCTGGACTAGCGGTAAAGAACTCATTCAGCCCAGCCCACCACAATACTCATGTATCTGGAAGATGGAATGTGTCCAGATGGACTAAATTTACTTCAAATGATTAACCAACACTTGCCTTTCCATCTACATCTCAGTTGGGTAAAGGTTCAGTTTGAAATAAAACACTGACTTATCTTAATATAAATGATAACCCAGTGCTAACACAACCACAGAGCAAATTGAGTTCCCTAACAATATCTCATAGAAATTCATGATAAAAAGGAAGTTATAAAATTTCAATAGCATGCTGTCATTTCTGATCAAATATTGAAGGGTTACATATCCCCTTTTTCATGTTTTAATTTGTCCATTATTCTCTTTGAAAAATGTGCATAATCCGTAATAAGCTAAGTAACCAAGTTATTAGATTTTGGCCTAAGGAACTGGAGCCAACATGTAATCCTGTGAATTCTGAGGGGCCTCTTTTCCAAACCTGAAATGCTAAACACGTCTAAAAATGTATCCAGTCTAAATGAGCAGTTGGTAAAGCAATCAGCCTTTCACACTGGAACAAGCAACAAACATGTGCAACGACCCTAGCATTTCTCCTTTGATTTATAGCAGTCTTGGAAAGAAGCTTAACAAGATGGCATAGAGCTTCAAGGGCAGTTGCAGTCAATTTATTGTCTGAGTTGTTAAAGATGTTAATTAGATTAGGAATTTGCTGAGGCCCTTTTATTCCTTGCAGAAAGAAGAGTGTTTCTCGTGTTTCTCTTTGAAACTTAGTTTTGTGGCATAAAAACACAGGAAAGAAGAAATCCTACACTCAAGGAAATTGCAGGGTCCCATTGAATTCCATAAAATTGTAAAAATTCCAATAATAACAGTTACAAAATAGCCAAAAAAGTACCAGGCCTGTTTTAAAAATAATACACTCCAACGATGCCTGCATTGTTTGATGTATATAAGACAAGAAGTGGGCAGATCATGGATGGTATGTTTAAGAAGTCTGGGCTCAAGGAATAAAAGTCATATCAGGAAGCAAGTCCAAGTATGCATTGAGACGAAGCAAAGAGTTTTTTCTGGAAAAACAACAGGCAGGGCTTTTTACTCCAGAGCAATAAACATCACTCTGTATGTCACTTTAATGCCCTGGACAAATGTTTTAATAGGGAGCTCTTGCATAGGCAGTGATGAGGGTATTAGATACTTCGCTTTTGACACAATTCCTCTGCAATAGCCCATTCCAGAAATATGTTTTGTCTTAAACAAAAGAAAACATGAAACGGTGCAGTAAATTACTTCCTCGCCTCAAAAAAAACCTCCATATATAGAAAAATCTCTCGGAAATGTAACTGGGAAGGTTAAAAAACAAGAGTGCTAGGTTTAGGTGGAATATTAGGATAATTATTTAATAGTAATATCAGTAAAGATTAATATAAGAATTGTCAAGATCCATGGTTCAAGGCAATTTTCATAAAATTATTCTAGGTAAAGTGTGAAACAGAAATATGCATATATAAAGTTCACAATGGTGCTCAGAAAACAAGTACATAAGGCAATAGCAAAGTTAAATATTTTAAGCATGTAAAATCCAGGCAAGCTCATCCTTAGGAAAAAGAGGTTGGATACTTATTCAAAGGTGAGAGTGCTTCAAACAAGATACTTATATTCTAACTACAATTGTAACTGATATTTTGGGAAGAGGGATTTAGATTTTGCAAACCAGCTTTTTGGCCTGTCCATGGGATAATTCTTGGTCATTTAAAAGGATTTGATGGACAGAAATAGAGACACAGATGTAGAGAACAAACATACAGGCACCAAGAGTGGAAACCGGCAGGGGGGTGGTGGTGGTGTGATGAACTGGGAGACTGGGACTGACATATATCCACTAATATGTATAAAATGGATAACTAATAAGAACTTGCTGTATAAAAATATAAATAAAGTAAAATTCAAAAAAATAAAATAAAATAAATAAAAGGATTTGAGTGAGCCACTTGTACGGTGTAGTCTTAGATTTTCTACCCTCCACCTCTACTTCTGCCACCTCCCTGGCAGATCATGGAAAGAGGGTAGGGTGAAGCTGAGACTCAAGTTGGCTTCAAAGAGGTCCTAAGCACTGGGAAGATGCTAAAGCTGATTTAAACTGTGGCTCTCATTAAGTATTTAGAATTTATTTAAATAGCTCCAAAACGGCACGTTTGGAGGGGATTACTTTTAAATAAAGCTAAAATGTTTTCCAGCAATTCCATTACATGGATGGTGTTATGGACTGAATGCATGTTTGTGTCCCCCTTAAATTCATATGTTGAAGCCCTAAACTCCAAGATGACTGTATTTGAAGATGGGGCCTTTAAAGAAGCAATTAAAGTTAAATGAGGTCATTAGCATGCGGCCTTGATCCTATAGCATTAGTGTTCTTACAAGAAGTGACAGCAGACTCTGTGTGTATGTATACACATGCACAACACCCCCCGCCCCAAGGAAAAGCCAGTGAGGACAAAGCATAAAAGGCAGCCCTCTATAAGGCAGGAAGAGAGGGCTCACCAAAAATTGAATTTGCTGGCACCCTGATCATGTACTTCCAACCTCTAGAACTGTAAGAAAATAAATTTCTAGTGTTTAAGCCACTCAGTCTGTGGCACTTTGTTATAGTAGCCCAAGCAGACGAATACAGATGGTCTGTATGCAGGACACTGCCACAATATAGCTAAGGATTTTTCTCTATTTTCTTTAAAGACTGTGATACTTGTTTGGGGGAATTTCTAGTGAAAATCATAATTTCTACATGTCTAGTTATTACCTGGCACACTGGTATACCCCAGAGCAGCTACAATTTTAGATCTAAATTTATGATATCCTTCCATCCTGTCATTATTTCTCTATGTTCGTGACATTCCTTTCTGCTGCTTTATTCCCCAGATTTTTGACCTACAGAACTCAGTAAATCTGTAAGTTCTTCAGTTTTGCCTTGAGTTAGTGTGCAATAAGGCAAGATAGTGCATAGACC